TTTCGGCTCCGTTCGGGCATGCTGCAGCTCAGCCAGCTCTGAGACAGCCCCCGGCCCCTCACTGCACCTGGAAAGTGGACTGCGGGGGGCCAGTGTCACCGCCCGCGCCCAGCACAGTGGGGCTAGGCGGTGGCACTTCAGCACTGGCAGCGATGCAGCTAGCGGGATGTGTGCCAGAGGTGGGCGAGCAGCTCCTCAACTCCCAGTTTGGCCCTTTCCCAGATGAGAGCTGCTGCTTTTCCTGGGGCAAATCCAGAGGCTAGAGCGACCTGGACTGTCACCTGAATACTGGGGGCCAGGAGAGCAAACTGTGCCAGGCATGGATGGCTGACGGTGCTGTGGGTGAAGCTGGGGATGGAGGTCAGTGCCATTGCCCTGAAACACCGGGGCTGAAGCACCCTCCAGCCCTCTGCCAGGCACCCAAGCCTTTGGATGCTGCTTCTTACCTTGGGTGTCCTGGGGGTCCTCACTGCGGGGGGTCCCCCAGCAGCACTGAGGGTGCAGGGGGCGGTAGCACCGACCCCGGCCTTGCACGGGGGATTCAGTGAGTGCTCACCCCAGACCCACCGCTCCTTGGGATGGGGTTGGCTGTAGCAGCCCCGCTGGCAGCGGCGCCTGGGGAGGAGGCAGCGCCAGGCCCAAGCACTGGCTTCGTGCCCGGGGGGTGGCTGCGGGTGGCCACGGGGGAGGCAGCCAGGGTGTGTTTGTGAGGGAGCTGTGCCCAGGAGGAGCACGCTGCCGAGCTGGCAGGGGGGTGGGAGCTGCTGGCAGTGCCAGGGGACAACGGTGGCTCTTCCATCCCATCCTGCTCTGTCCCGCCCCAGCCCACAGGGACACGGTGCTGCCGGGGTGTGCATGCCACCTTCTCCGGCTGCGGGAGCTGGGCTTAGGGTGGACGGCACCCATCTAATGCGGCCATGGTGGAGGAGCTGAGGGTGCTGAGTCCTTCCCTGCATGGACCCACCTGGCAACACTGGTGGGTGTTTTATTGCTCTTCCCTAAGGTTCGGATGTGCCTCCCCTCCAAAATTGACCATTGCCCTACAGACCGCATGTGTGGTAGCAGTGGACTTGGCCTCAGGTTTCTGCCCTGCCATTTCAAGCCTGAAAATCTGTCTTTCCAGGCAGCCCAAGGGCGGGACCTGGCAGCTTTGAGGTGCCCCTGATCTGCCAACGTGGCCCTTTCTGCCTGCCCCAACAGAGTCCCCTTGTCCCCAGCCACAGAGCAGGGTGGGCGCCAGCCTCCGGCACCAAGGGCCCCTTGAGCCTCCTCTGCACCCTGGCTCTGTGTGCGCCGCCCCCTCTGCTCCAGCCCTCCATCTCTCTGCCCTTGCTGCCTGCACATCCCCATCCTGTGGCTCTGGGGCACCGGTCGGAGGCTCTGTGCCTTTGATTAACTCCTCCAATGTGCACGGGCCATAATGAAGATTTAATAACAAGTTCATGACTTGTCTTCCTGCTAAGCTTGTTCTGGGTGACATGTGGGGCCAGGTATCCTTACGCGGCGGTGTGTGCTGGCCGCATTGGGTGCCCCGTGGGCTCACCAGCCCTCTTACCCTTGTCTACAACTGGCTTTAACCTGCTTGATTTAACCTGTCTCATCGGGGCTGTTACCACTCATCACCACCTTCCAGGGTCACGCGTAAATCGGAGCCGCTTCACCAGTTTGAGGTGCTCCTGCCTGGGCCGGTGGGCGAGCAGAGCCCAGGGATGGGGCAGCATCACCCATGGGTGCTGCCTGCGGCGTGTCTGGTGGCGCAGTTGGTATGTGATGGGGACAGTGGGACACGAGCACTGCTTGTGTGGCCATGCCGTTGTGGGGAGCCTGGCAGGGTGTGTGCCGGCGGTGTCCCCCCAGTCCCTGTGTCGCTGCAGCTTACACGATGCTGTTGCAAATCCCGAAGCACTGGTTGCCACGTTACATTAGGAGGAGCCACATCCAGCGTCCCTGGCGCCCGCTGTCACTGCGGTTCAATGGCAAGCTGCGGCTGAAAGGCTTGAAATTGGGGATCAAAGCCGCGGTGGCACAGCTGTTAGCCGCCGGGGATGCACATGCGCAGGTCAGGGGTGCGGGGGCTGGAGCTGCGGCCCCGAGCCCAGCAGTGCTGCACGGGCTGTGCCAGGAATGACCCCCCTCCTCTGTGTGTGTGTGCACACGTGTGTGTGTGTCTTGGGTGTGTGTGTGCACACGCTTGTGTGTGTAGGTGTGCATGTGTGTTTGCAAGTGTGTATGCGTGTGTGTGTGTATGTGCATGTGTGTATACACACGTGTGTGCACAAGTGGTTGTGGTGCAGGTACATGCATGTGCACACGTGCAAGTTGGGGGGTGCATACCTGCCTGTGTGTGTGCATGCCCCTGCTGTGGGTGTGTACACCCGGAGAAGCCCCAGGGCAGCCGGAGCTCAGGGGTTTCCAGCCCTGGGCTGTGCCCGTGGGGGGCTCGGTCTCACTGGCTGCTCCAGCCCCCAGCAGAAGCAGCCCCCTCTCCCCGGGCACGAGGCAGGAGAGGGGCTTGGCTTGCACCACTCCCCGACATCTCCTCAGCTCCTGCTGGCTGCGTGCTGAGTGGTGCTGCTACAGCGCCTGTGTCCCCAGGCCGGAGCACCCCCGGGGCCTGGGGGATGCAGGGGCAGGTTTAGGGATGTTCTCCCAGGACGGCTGCTCCTGCATGGCCCCATGGAGCAGGGTCACAGTGCTTCACAGTTGCCTGAGTGTAGCTGACCTGCTGTCACCTGCGTGGGTCCTGTGGCCCCACTTGGTCCCCCCCAGCTCGTCCTTTCTGGACCAGACATCCCCACCCCAGCTGCAGCACCCTCGGGGGTGGCATTTCGTGGTGGTGCAGCTCCAGCCCGGTGCGAGCCCTGCCCTGTCCCCTCCCAGCGGGCAGAGTGAGAGCTGATGGGCACAGCCGCAGGCAGAGGGATGCAGGAGCCATTCATCCCTTTAAAGCCGCCACCTTGTCTCTCTGCAGACCCCGAGTCCCAGAGGAAGAGGACAGTGCAGAATGTGCTGGACCTTCGGCAGAACCTGGAGGAGACCATGTCCAGCCTGAGGGGCTCTCAGGTGTCTCACAGGTGAGGCCTCGACACCGGACCCCCACCACCCCTTCCCCACAACCAGTGTCCTTCCTGGGGCAGCGAGGGAGGCCAGGGCGGCTGGGAAGCAGCTCTGCTCCAGGTGAGGGCCATGTGGGTGGGAAGGAGCCGGCTGTGCCCCATGTCCTGGGGACCCTGTGCATGGGGGCTTGGAGAGATGCCCCCAAATGTGTGGGGTGTTGTGCGCGGGGCTGCAGCAGAGCCCTGTCCCTGGCAGTGCTCTGGGCCTGACACTGCCTCACGTGCTCTGGGGCAGTGGGGATGGGTGGGGGTGGCATTGAGGGGAGCCAGCTGCCCTCAGACCCCAGGCAGGGAGTTAGGTCTGTTCCTGGTGGTCGGGTGTCCCCGTATGGAAACCAGAGGTGAAGGTATCCCCTGCACCTGCCCAGGTTTGGACCACAGGTTCCATCCCCATCCATGACTCAGTTTCTCTATTCTGTGTAGAGGTGATGATGGAGAAACCCTTGGACAGAGCTGACCAAATGCCCGGCAGCCCACAGGCAGAGGTGGGGTACCCTGCCCAGATGGGCTGGCAGCACCCCAGGGTTGCAGTTGGGGCTGGGGGGATGGCAGGGCTGGGGACAGGGTGACCACTGGGTGGTGAACCAGAGCAGAGTGCCTACCTGTGTTCAGAGGTCTCTCTGACACATGCCTGGGACTACCTGTGTCCTCCCCAGGTCTCTCACTTGAGACCACTGCAGGGTTACTGCTCTGCTCTGGACGTGCTCAGGGTCTGCACGGCAGCTCCAGCCTCCTGCCTGGCTCCCTGTCGGGACTGAAGGGGCCGGACCCTGCCAGTGGTGGGCCGGGGGCAGTGGGTGGGGAGGGGACATGTCCCCAGGGCATCCTCCTGGCCCCCACCCCACTGGTGCAGCCGTGTTATGAAGCCTGGGCTTTGCGGAGAGGCCGTGTTGCGTGTCAGCGAGTTGGGAAAGCCAAGGATGCGGCGAGCATCCTTCTCCTGGTGTTTGTTGCCACCTCGCGGTCTCCCTCGATCCTCATTTTTGTGTTGGAAAGGGCAAAAAGCAGCAGCTTCTCCCCACCCCCTTCACCCACCACTCATCATTACAGACCTTCCCTGCATCACCCCTTGATCAGTTTCGTCCAGGATGAAGCAGCCTGCTTGATTTAGCTCTTCTTAACCCAGAAGCTCGTCTAGACCTTGCTCGTTCTTGCTGCAGTTCCCGGGTCTTTTCTGAGCCGGAGGCAGCAGAGCACTGGGGCAGTGGGATTTGCACAGGGCTGCAGAGATATTCCCCAAGCTGGCCATTTCCTGGAATTATCCATTACAGCTCTGCCATCCTTTGCTCCGCACAGGAGCTGGTTCACAGCCTGGTGCTGCTCACGCTGAGTCAGGGCTGCTTTGTGTTCACTCGCGTTTGCTTCACATTTGCTCTGCGTTCGCTTTGCATTCATCTGTGTCAAACTTCACCCGCCGTCTTCCCGCCCCAGCGCTCAGCTCCTTTGCAAATCCTCCGTCAGCCCCGGTCTTAGGGAAATAGGGCAAGGATATTAAGGGTGATTAAATTAGCGTTGCTAGTGCGTTTTGACTCTTCGCTATCACTTCCTTTTCTTGATGAGTTACGAGTACATCATGTGGCAGAGGCCTCAGCCAGATCACTGCCACGGAAGAAAGTGACTATCAGTAGCCTAGGGATGCCTACCTCTGCGTTCTGTCCCGTAAGCGGTTCTTAAATACATGAGTATCTTCCCTCTTATCCCATGGCAGCCGAGTTTATTTGGAAGCTTAATCTGTCTTTGTTGAGGGCACTCATCCACCACCCTCTGGTAGCCTGCAGCAGCCTTGGCAGTGTGCTCCCTGCATCCCTCCAGGAGCTCCACCGCGGTTGTGAGCCGGATTTTCCTTTACCAAAGCTGTGTCAGCTCTTCCCCGCTATGTTGTAATTACGCACATACCCACTAATTCTGCTCTCGGGAACACTTCCTACCAGTGTGTCCAACATGGATGTCGTCCGTGGTCCTCTGGACGTGCCCTGCATCGCTGGTGTCTCTGTAGCTGCTTTGGGCTCTCTTTATTCCTTCCACAAACTATTGCTCAGATTTCTCCTGTTCTCCTCGCTGTATTCTTCCATCCAGTGGCTGGGGGCTCAGCCTTTGCTGTTTCCTCGCTAGGGCACAACTTTGTTCCTGAAAGACATCATCATACTTCTGGCAGCCTTTGCACCCGGCTGCAGGGCTGCACAAGCTTCCTCGGGGTCTTGCTTTAGTCCTGCACGGAGACGTGGTTTGCATCTGCTCCAAGCTGCCGGCAGAACATCCTTAAATAGCCTTTGTGCTGCCGACAAAAACTAAACCCTTTTAGCTGCCCCTTTTAGTTCCGCTTTAACAAACTTCCTAGTTTTTTATGTAGTTCCCTGTTTTAAATTCAATACTGCAGCTGGGGTTTGGCTTTTGGTGCTCCTGCAAGAACGTTTAATCCAAGCTAGGGAATAGCTCACTGGTAGTAACGTTTGGAGCCAAATCGAGGGTTGTGGGTTCCCAAGTAGCTGCTCCAAGAAGTAATCATTTTTGGTGTCTAAATTTAGTCTCAGCATCACTCCCTGACATGCCATTTGCCCAAAATACACCCCGAGGGGTGCGGGGAGAAACTGAACTCCCCATTCCCGATGCGCTCGTGGGCTCTGGGCTGGCTGGAGAGCAGCAGCACACTTGTGGGCAGCCCTGTGGGGCCGGACAGCCCTCTCTCAGGGCATCCCCTCCTGCCCATATGTGGAGGTTCACTCTGCAGGGGTTCGGCATGGGATGCTGATGCAGGGACCCAGTCCCTGGTTTGCCCCTCGGCATCCTTTCGCTCACAGCCACCGCTCCCCAGCATGGCCCCTCTCCCACAGCGTGTTTGCAGCCAGCCCTGGTGGCACCCCCAGCCCCTGCACTGAGGTGGCTGGCCCACAGCGTGTTTGCAGCCAGCCCTGGTGGCACCCCCAGCCCCTGCACCAAGGTGGCTGGATTGGCACCCCCAGCCCCTGCACCGAGGTGGCTGGATTGGGCCGGGCGGGGGGCATCGCCTCTGTGGGGTGCTCGGGGCTGTCGGGAGGCACAGACCTCCCCATCCCACCCCACATCCCGCTCCACAGTCCCTGGGGAGAAACAGGCATCACCAGACACTGGTGGGTGCTGGTGGTGCGGATGTTCTAGTGGGTCCTGGAGCATGGGACGCTGTGCTGGCACCAGGCAGTGCAGGAGGGGACCATCCCCTGCCAGCTGAGATGGAGGGGGTCAGGGCGTCCCTGTGCCCATGCTCCTGGGAGCCTCTGGCCTTGCCTGGCTGCCTCAAAATGGGCAGTTCTGTTTTCTGAGCACTTGCAGCCCCGGTTTGGGGAGTGAGGCAGGGCACAGACCTCCACCACCTGCCGTGCCCTGCCCTAACCCCCCCTGCACCCTGTCCTCGCAGCTCCCTGGAGATGACGGCACCCCCAGCTGGTACATGCACGGCGAGCGGGCGCACTACTCGCACACCATGCCCATGCGCAGCCCCAGCAAGCTGAGCCACATCTCCCGCCTGGAGCTGGTCGAGGCATTGGACACCGACGACGTGGAGCTGAAGTCGGGCTACATGAGCGACAGCGATCTGATGGGGAAGACGCTGACAGAGGATGACGACATCACCACAGGGTAAGTGCCCGTGCCGGGGCTCGTGCCTGGACCGCGGCTCTCCTGGAGGTTTCATCACGTCCTGTTTGACCAGCGGTGGAGGGGCACCAGGCGCAGCAAGGGCAGATGGAGGAGCACATAGATCACGGCCAATTTGGCTGGGTGGATCGTGTCCCTGCGTCCCAGGAGATGCTTTCCCACCGGTGAGGCAGTGTAGCCCTTGCGGTGCTGGTGGTGCTAGTCCAGCCGGGGCTTCTCGGGGCCAGCGAGCCCCTGAGCTGGGGCATGCTGCTGTACCGGCGTGCGGGAAGTGTCCAGCTTGATCTGGGTGTTCCCAGAGCAGGGGGCTGAGAAAAGCACGTGGTGTGTGGCTGTGGGAGCCCCGAGCCAGAGCCCTGCTGGAGTGAATACTGCTGCTTTCAGAAGCACTCTCCCAGCTTACACCAGTGGGTCTGAGCTGCTGCCTCTGACCCTGGCACTGCGGGGACGTCCTGTGTCCAGCCGGGAGTGCTGGTGGCCCATGGTGGGACAGGCTGGGTCAGGTCTCAGCACCCCAGCGAGAACCAGGCACTGAGGTGTCCTTGCCAATGGGTGGCACCGTGGTGGAGCCACAGGGTGCACTGCTGAGCAGGGTCCCCTTCTTCTGGGACCCCTGTTGGCCTCCATCCCTCCACCCGCGGGGCCAGGGGTATCTTCTGCCAGGTGGGCACAACCCAGCACACCCAGGGTTCACATTTTCTTTCCAGACGCGTCCAGCTCCAGCTGCGCTGTTGAGGTGCCCCTGGCTCTGGCAAGGATCCAGGGTTTCAGCACGTTGGAGGTTTCCTGTTTCAGCACAGGAGAAAATAAATAACTCCGGCATTTGAGTTGTCCCAGAGCAGGAGGAGGTATTTGGCCTCCTGACAGTGCTGCTCTGGCCCTCCTGGGGTGGATGTAGTCACGTCAGCTCGTTGCAGGATAGAGCACAGCCCACAGCTTCACACCCATCCTGGGGGCCAGCGCTTCCCAGATGTGGCCCGGAGGCACATGTTACAGTTGGAGGGGACCCACACTGAGGGGTGCCTGTGCTGGCCTCTGCCCCTGCAATGCTCCAGCTCGGGGGTGAGCGTGTCTGCGGCACCGTGGGCATTAGACCCATCCTTCCCACGGGCACGTGGGGTGACCTTGGGGGGCTGCCCTGTGTTTTGTGAACAGGGGTGCTTGTGCAGGTGGATAACCTTGGGGTGCCCTTGGCTCTGGAGGCAGTGCTGGGAGGGGTGAGCTGGAGCATCACTTTGTCTCCATCAGCCACTGAGCAGGCAGAGTGCGGGCAGAGTCAGCCCTGGCAGGACCCTCCCCGGGCTCAGCCCTGTGCACTGCCCTGGGCAGGGTCCGCTTCTTCTCCCAGGAAGGGCCAAGCTTTGGGGATGGAGCCCTGTGCGGCTGAGCCTCCCGTGGGGCCCTGGCAGCACCACAGTCCCCTGGTGTAGGTGAGGCTTTCAGTGCAACAGTGAATTGGGCCGGCACCACCACGGCTGGGTGCCGCAGTCCCTGTTTCTATGCAGGGTCCCCAGCGTGATGCCCTGGATGTGCCCCGAGGGAAATCCCCCGTGTCCTGCCGGTGGGTGCAGAGACAGACTGGGTCCTCTGTGCTGGGTGTTCTGTGCTGGGTACGCGTCCCCAGGGACGGGTTCAGGAGGGCAGCTGGGGCAGCACAGGACCCTCTTATCTGCAGGGACATGTCCTGGGGATCAGCCATGTCACCGGGATGTTGCTGGCACACGGGGCCGTGTGGTGACCTAGTCACAGCTCCATCCCCCATGGCCCCACAGCAGGACTCAGGGTGGGGGGGTGTCCCCCAGAGCAGGCAGTACGGCAGGGCCTCTGTCCCCAGGGGACATCCCTGGCTGGGTGCTGGGGTATGCCAGGGTGCCCTGTCCAGGAGCCTGGGCACTGGGTGCAGGGCCAGGTCAGGGGAGCAGGGGCATCCCTTTCTCCCCAGAGCCGGCTGGGGTGAGGAGCTGCTGTGCCGGCTGGGAGCCCTCATCCAGCGCAGCCCCTCATCCAGCCTCCTCGGCTGGCTCTGACCTAGAAAGCAAATACTGCCCCAGGCCCCATCTCCCAGTGCTGCTAATGCACCGGGCAGGAGCCGAATGCTGCAGATGGGGCCATCAGCCCACGAGCCCGGGCCGCCGGGCCAGCGCCTCCCTGCACCGCGCTGGTGCAACCCAGGCTT